TCAGCGCCATCAGCCTTGCTACTGCAGGGCAGGGACTTTCTTCCAGGGCCACACAATCAGGCAGGGGTTGGTAAAGCCAAGAAATAGAATCCAGGAGTCCTGGGGCATCCTGCCTCCAAGACCCTGCCGCCCTCCCAGAGCTGGGAACGGAACCCAGGAGTCCTGCTCCAGCTGCCTCCGAGCTCTAGAACCCACCACCTTCCCAGAGCTGGGAACAGAACCCAGGAGTCCTGGCTCCTGCTGCCTCCGAGCTCTAGAACCCACCACCCTCTCAGAGCTCCCTGGCTCCTGCTGCCTCCGAGCTCTAGAACCCACCACCTTCCCAGAGCTGGGAACAGAACCCAGGAGTCCTGGCTCCTGCTGCCTCCGAGCTCTAGAACCCACCACCCTCCCAGACCTGGGAACAGAACCCAGGAGTCCTGGCTCCAGCTGCCTCCAAACTCTAGAACCCACCACCCTCCCAAAGCTGGGAACGGAACCCAGGAGTCCTGGCACCAGCTGCCTCCAAGCTCTAGAACTCGCCCCCTCCTAGAGCTGGGAACAGAACCCAGGAGTCCTGGCTCCAGCTGCCTCCAAGCTCTAGAACCCGCCACCCTCCCAGAGCTGGGAGCGGAACCCGGGAGTCCTGGCACCAGCTGCCTCCAAGCTCTAGAACCCGCCACCCTCCCAGAGCTGGGAGCAGAACCCGGGAGTCCTGGCTCTTATGGGACCATCTGGCTAAACCCCCGTCAGATCCTGCTGCTGGCCAGGCAGTGCCCTTGGACGGTGAACGCTGCCCTCTTCACGCTAATGGCCTCCTCTCCCCTTGCCCAGCATGTCGGACGCTGCCTACAACTCCACGCGCCTCTGGACCATCGTCGCCCTCTGCCTGCTGCGCCTGGCCATGACGCGCCACCACCTGCAGGCCTACCTCGGGCTGGCGGAGCGCTGGGTGGAGCAGATGAAGAGGGAAGCCGGGCGCATCGCCATCCAGGAGATCCAGCGCAGGGTAGGCGCCGGCGGGGCGGGGAGAAAGCCAGGCAGCTGGGGGCTAACGCTGTAGGAACAGCCCAGGAGGCAGAGGTCGCGCTCTGGCCTCCTCAGGCTGGCGAACCAGCTCCGTTCAGCTGCTGAAGGGCCCTGGCTCCAAGCACGCCCCTCCTCCATGGGGATTCCTCCCTCCTGCGTGTCCTTGTGTACACACCAGGTCCCGGGCGACGTGCATCGGGGGCTCAGGCAGAGGGGCTGGGCCAAGGCAGGCGAATTTCCTTTCCCTTCTTGACTCGCCCCTCTATTATGGGTTTTACGGTAGCACCGCTCCGTTCAGCTGCTGAAGGGCCCTGGCTCCAAGCACGCCCCTCCTCCATGGGGATTCCTCCCTCCTGCGTGTCCTTGTGTACACACCAGGTCCCGGGCGACGTGCATCGGGGGCTCAGGCAGAGGGGCTGGGCCAAGGCAGGCGAATTTCCTTTCCCTTCTTGACTCGCCCCTCTATTATGGGTTTTACGGTAGCACCTTGCTGGGGCCCGATTCTGCCAGGCCCATCCCTTGAGACAGTCCCTGCCCGGGGGGGGGCAAGGAGAGGGGCAGCG